GTGGCTTACAAACTCCTTTCCCTCCCCCTCCCCACATCAGACACCCTGTGAGGTAAAAGAAGAAGAAGAGATTGGATTTATACCCAGCCCTTTGTACCCGAAGGAGTCTCAGAGCGGCTTACAAACTCCTTTCCCTTCCCCTCCCCACAATAGACACCCTGTGAGGTAAAAGAAGAAGAGATTGGATTTATACCCCGCCCTTCACTACCCAAAGGAGTCTCAGAGTGGCTTACAAACTCCTTTCCCTTCCCCTCCCCACAATAGACACCCTGTGAGGTAAAAGAAGAAGAGGAGATTGGATTTATACCCCGCCCTTCACTCCCCAAAGGAGTCCTAGAGCGGCTTACAATCTCCTTTCCCTTCCCCTCCCCACAACAGACACCCTGGGAGGTAAAAGAAGAAGAGGAGATTGGATTTATACCCTGCCCTTCACTCCCCAAAGGAGTCTCAGAGCGGCTTACAAACTCCTTTCCCTTCCCCTCCCCACAACAGACACCCTGGGAGGTAAAAGAAGAAGAGGAGATTGGATTTATACCCTGCCCTTCACTACCCAAAGGAGTCTCAGAGCGGCTTACAAACTCCTTTCCCTTCCCCTCCCCACAACAGACACCCTGTGAGGCAGGTGGGGCTGAGAGAGCTCTTGACAGAAACTGCTCTTTTTTCAAGAATAGCTCTTATCAGAACTACGGCTTGCCCAAGGTCATCTAGCAGGTGCAAGTGGAGGAGTGGGGAATCAAACCCGGTTCTCCCAGATTAAGAGTCCGCGCACTTCACCACTACACCAAACTGGCTCTCCCACTCAATGAAGGAGGATTTGGTTTTCCTGCTCTTCACTTATATCATCAGGCATCTCTGTTAACTTGTACTAATGACTTGGACTGGTTCTCTCAGCTGGACTATCTGTCTTGGTCTATTTTGGAGGCTTCTTGTCTGGCGTTTCTCCTTGAAATGGACTGCATTACGGTCCACTCGTGTTAAAACAGATCCTCCTGTTCTTCCTGCAGTTTCTGCCGTTAGAGAATTATGGTGCATAATGTCATGACAATATCAACTTGACCCAACCCCACATGCTAAATTAACGCTGCAGGCCGATCCGGATTTAAAAATTGGGAAGTTAGTGGTCAGGAGCATGGACTCTAATCTGGGAGAACTGGGTTTGATTCCCCACTCCTCTACATGCAGCTGCTGGTGTGACCTTGGGTCAGTCACAAGTTCTCTCAGAGCTGTTTTCTCACGGGCAGTTCTTGAAAGAGCTCTCTCTCAGCCCCACCTACCTCACAGGGTGTCTGTTGTGGGGAGGGGATTGTAAGCCGCTCTGAGACTCCTTTGGGTAGTGAAGGGTGGGGTATAAATCCAATCTCTCTTTTATGGAAGGCATGGACAGAGAGGGATTTTTACCTTGGATCAATTAATGGACCACAATGATGAGTTTTTGTTATTTTTGCAGCAGAGGTCTAGATGTGACCTCTGCTGAATGACAATATTTACAACTGCAACATCTGTTGGTATCTAAATATGGCCCTGCAGTATTAAAGAGTTTCAGAATCTCCCCTACTCTTGAAAACCCTCATTGAGAAAACGAAGCTGAGAATATTTGTTTCCAAACATCTGATGTCGTTTAGTAAATTAGATATGCAAAGTCTCAGAAATGAATGGAAGAAACTCGATGGGCCCTACGTTTTACACCAGTTGCTTCTATGGACCTCAAGCTGTGACTTATCAAAAAAATACGTTGAGGATATATTGGACACCCCAGCGACCTTTTTTATAAGGGATTAATGTCTAAATTGTTGGCACTGTAACTTAAAAAAGGTGTCTCTTTAACATATGCTTTTTGGCCTGAACTATTCAGTTATTCAGTATCCTGACCTGGGCTAGCCTAAGCTAGCCCGATCTCATTAGATCTCTGACACTAACCAGGATCAGCCCTGGCTAGTATTTGGATGGGTGACCTCCAAGGAATACCAGGGGTATGACGCAAAGGCAGGCAACGGCAAACCACCTCTGAATGTCTCTTGCCTTAAAAACAGAGTCTAGCTTGCCACTCAGTGGTGCATAACGCTAAGAGAGCTAGAACTTCTGGCCGCCAGACAATCTTAGGATCTCCTGGCTATTCTACACACAATGCCATACAATAATAATTATGAATTATTATTAGTTAGCTGCTGTAGATTTCCCGGGTTGTGTGGCCGTGGTCTTGGCACTGTGGGACCTGACGTTTCGCCAGCAGCTGTGACTGGCATCCTCCAAGGTAAAACACAGAAAGATGGAGCGCTCTCTGTGTCAAGGTGAGAAGAGACATGGTAGGCGCCTTGACACAGAGAGTACTCCTTCTTTCTGTGTTATACCTCTGAGGATGCCAGTCAGGTCCTACAATGCCAAGCCCACAGCCATACAACCCGGAAAATCGACAACAGCTAATGAACTCTGGCCCTGAAAGCTTTCGACAACATATTATTATTCAGTCTTTTGGGAGGGAAGTAATTACTCATGCCAATTTTGTATTAGAATATTCACTGATCTTTGAGGCAGTTTTAAACTATTTGCCTGTTTCTTGGAGACTGACTGGTAGTCAATGGAAACAGACCCTCCGCAGCACGGAGAGTCAGTTGTGACTTGACAGCAAGATATATACACACACACACACACACACACTGAAAACTGCTTTGCGCTTGTTTAGGAAAACATGATATACACATTTATTGTTGTGTACAATACATACCAAGAGTAGAAGAACGTTGCTGGAAATGGCAACGTTGAAGGGTTGGAATTTGTTCAGCGCTGCGAAGGACGTCACCTCTACCAGGGTGTGGGGATTCCTGCAGAGATACAAGACCTGCCCTCATGAGGACTAGAAACTCTAGCCATGCTTTTACCATCAGCTATAAAGCTACTGCAGGCTGTGGAAGGTCGGTAGTTCAGCAGTTCGAGACCTGGGTGCTGCATGACGGAGTGAGCTCCCATCTCTAGTTCCATCTCCTGCCAACCTAGCAGTTCGAAAGCAAGAAGTTGCAAGTAGATAAATAGGTACCGCTTCGGTGGGAAGGGAACAGCGTTACATGCGCCTTGGTGTTTAGTCATGCCGGCCACATGACCACGGAAACGTCTTCGGACAGCGCTGGCTCTTCGGCTTTGAAACGGAGATGAGCACCGAACCCTAGAGTCGGATTCGACTGGCTTTCGAGCAAAGGAACCTTTACCTATAAAGCTACAACAGGAAAAACTACCAAAATGAGCAACACTTTATAACAAATTGTTTTATGTAAGATCATGCAATATTATGTGGTCTGCAAAATGCTTGGTTTTATATGTATGGTTTTATGTGTATATTTCTCTTTTCTACTGATCCTCTTTTATTATTTATTTATCAGGGTGGCTCACAGTCGATACACAAATAGCAATTAAAATCCACATAAAATCATAATAATACACAAATCCACATAAAATCCACATAAAATCATCTAAAAACAGTTCCAAGTTATAACTTATACGAATTCATAAAGTGTTGGTGATGATGAATCAGTTGCTTGAGATGGCTTACTTTAAGAGTATACACAGAGGTCTAACAGTCATTATGCTCATGGTCATCCTAGCACAAGGGCGGCACAGGCTAGATGTCAAAGCCAAAGGGCCAGGACTCTATAGTGGTGGCAGCTCCTTAGTTGAAAAGCGTGGCGGAAGAGCTCTGTCTTGCAGGCCCTGAAGAACATTATCCAATGTTCTGGGCTCGGACTTCTTCTGTAGCACGCGTGGGGAGCACAATTTTTACCCAGGAGACTTCCAACCTCCCCACTATTCTTGAGGGTCCCCCCTTCCCCAAGAGCAGCATTTAAGGGTGGGTTTGGGGTTGCTGAGTGATGGGAAGAATCGGTGAAAATGCCTCCACTCTACCCACAGATGTCTAGGCAGGTTGCAAGCAATGTTCCCTCTAAGCTGTGGGGTCTCGTGAGCAAAAATTCTACTTTGTTGAGCTACCAGCAGTAAAGTTGTGAGCGAGCGATTTGGCTACTGTGTAAATTAGTTTGCTCTGGAGCCCTCCTTCCTGAGCGAAGGCGAAAATCTGTGGGCTGGAGGCTAAAAAACTGTGAGCTAGCTCACCCTAACTCAGCTTAGAGGGAACACTGGTTGCAAGCCTATGTTTCTTTGGACATCTATTTTTATCTAACTCTTTTTATATTGGCGTCACCAATCTTGGGTCCTGAGGTGCTTGGGAGAAAGACAGGTATGTAAATATTGTTTTATGCCAATGAAGGCTAACTGACTAACCAACTGACTGACTGGAAACTCTTTTTGGGGGGACGGGCAGGACAAAATAGATAAGACAGATATTCAGGGCTCTTTTTGTAGAAAAAGCCCAGCAGGAACTCATTAGCATAATAGGCCACACCCAACAGCAGGAACTCATTAGCATATTGGGCCACACCCCTGACAGCACAGCTCATTAGCACATTAGGCCGCACCCCATGTTACCAGAAGTGTGGTTACCCAGCTACACCCACCTTTTGCTTCTTATTCTGTTTACCTTGTTTGTTGTCCAAACCCAGGGCCTTTTTTGTAGCAGGAACTCCTTTGCATGTTAGGCCACACACCCCTAATGTAGCCAATCCTAATGAGTTTCTGCTATGGGGTGTGGTCTATTATGCTAATGAGTTCCTGCTGGGCGTGGCCAACTTGGGAGCCAGCCGGAACTCCGTTCCTGTGCATTC